ACTAATGGGTATTTTTTACCTTTGTCATTTTTAAAGATTTTCAAATTCCTGTTTTCTTCTCCTCCTATTTGTTCAGCCATAACCAAATGGTTATAATACTTGTATTTGTAAAGCTTACAGTACAACTGTTAAAGTTATCAATACTTTTTCTAACTGTAAAATATGTATTTATTCTTAGTGGTTTCTGCAAGCACTTCTGAAGAATTGTGTGCTATTCTATATAATGTCACAGTCAAAACTTTAGCTCTATAGGTACCTGATTATCCTCTAAAACACCCAAAATATTAAGGACCTTCAAAACTTCATTATCTGCATAAAATGTAGGCACATTTCGAACAATTAAAACCTCTAGCAAGTAATTGTAAAAGGTTTTAGATTTTTAGCTCCCATATACTTTATATTGATGCATAATCCAGAATGGATTTTACAATGTTGATACTAAATATCTCAAGTAAACCTAGAGAGTTAAGTCTCAAATCAAAAGGAATGCCATTTGTATCAATCAAGTATTGTTTATTTTACTGAAAAGGTCTCTTCAGTATTTACTTTTTCTTATCGTTGCTGTTTTCCAGCCCACAGAGGAAGCACAAAGGGACATACTATCCATTCCCTTCAACAGCTGTCAAATCCTGCTAGGATTCATGCAGTAGCTTCCTAAAGTCTTCAGTAACCACAAGATTGAACAATGAGAAATGACAAAATGTGTATTCCTGAAAGAAAATACTTTAGGTCATTTTTTAGAGTGCAATTTTTTTTATACCTGCTGTACTGGGAGAACACCCCATGCAGTAATACATCTTCACAGGCTTTGAGATGTCCTTGTGATTACATTTAGGTTACAACACACAAACTGAATTTCATGTGTAACTTCAGGCACAATTGTGGGAAACAGCAGAAACAGCATGCTTCAGGACACAATCTGTCACAATTTGAAGATACCAAATGCATGTACTCAGGGTGAATTCTACTTTCTGTGATAACTTCATTTGTCCCAAAATTATGTGCAGTTACATACACAAATTAATGAATCCAGATGAAGATTTCACTGCTGTAACAGAGTACAAAATACTTTTTCCAGTGACCTTAAAGGTTATGATGGTGGTGACAAACGTGCAACCAAATATCCGACCTTTAGCCCAAAACAAATGTTCAGCTCTGTTAAATTCATCTCTACTCAAAGAACATTTATTCCTTCTGAAGCAACAGCTGAGGATTTGAACAGTCTTTCCACCTTGGGCTGCTCCCAATCTAAAGACTAAAAAAAAGTTATAATTCAAAAGGTATCCCATCCATATGCTGATGCAATTGTACGTTAAATTTTGGTAACTCTAAAAAAAAAGTTATATTTTAGCATTTTTGTGTATGTAATACTCCATCATAATTTACAAACAACATTCAGAATTCCATTTTGTCTCAAATTGCTTGGAATTAGATTGGGTGTTAGGATGACAATTGTGACTGATCTCCATGTTTTTTCCCTTAACTGAAATACAAATATGATGAAAAAACCTATTTCTAGAAACAGAAGAGCAATTGAAAAAAAAATCCTCAGGTTCACAATAGCATTTCTAGGCCTTATTAGAGTCACATACTTTCTGGGGAGGGGGGCCTACTGATGAATCCACAATTCATTACACCAAGCCATACTATTGTGTCTATTTATCTGGAATTATACACGTGTGATGTATGATGGCTATGTACAAAAACATGCAGTTTAAGATGCTCATAATACAAATACTTAGATTTAATGCAGGCAAGACATTATTAAAATATGCCTAGTGCATGAAATACATAAGTTAAAACAAAAAAGAACAGTTCTTACAGTTACTAGAGCTCAGAATCCATTACAGCTTCTGCTCAAATGGCATTATATATGTGCCCCCCACAACAGAACTCAAATACAAACTGTGAGCAAAATAAGTATTAATGTACAGTATGTTGAGAGGGAAACACTATTTTCTTTATCAAAATCAATACAGTGTACTTCAAAAATAGAAAGGTACTTTAGACATAGTCAGATCAATGTTGAATGTTCAAAACTGGTTAATTTATTGGTTTCTTTAAAAGAAAGTCAACAGCAAATCATGGCTAGCCACAGCACACAGCTTAGTTTCATAAACTCAAAATCATCCAGAAAATCAAAGACAATAATTATTTGGAAGCATTTTTTCCTGAAACATAGCTCCAGGTTTTGAATCAAAACAAAAATTTTTGATCTGGGGAGTAAGTCAGGCCACGCTGAGTGGTGCCAAATATTCCTTAGCTGCTTCCCAAGATGAGAACCAAAAGAGCAACCACCTCCAGTACATGTGTACCAATGCACAGAGATTGTTGAAGCTCTATTGAATGCCTGAGTCGAGGTCAGAGAGGTCATCTCTAAGGGGAATCTCCGAGTAGGCTTCTGCTACTGACCTCTAAACAAAGGAAATAACACCAATTAAACAATACTTGGGTCACTTAAGAAAGTTTTGGGTCAACAGAACCTGGTTCTGTGGGTGATTTTGGCTCCCTAGATACTTGTAGAAAAACAATACAGCAGCCCACATGTTATCCATCAAGTTCCTGGAGTATGTAGAGGTCAAATTTTGAATACAGATTGTTAGATATGCCAATCAAGGGTGAGGCACTGCTGGGCTTGCTACTCACAAGCCAAGGAAACCTGCTTTATAAAACCCCCATCAGTGATAGCCTTGGCTGACATGCTCACTGTAGTGGGGTGCTGCTGAGCTCGCTGGAGGTCAGTGTTAAAGCAAACGTTTCAGATTTAGAAGATCAAACTTCACTGTGCTCAGAGCCCACAGGAAGGGATGCCACGGAGGATAAAGAAGAGCTGGGAGTTTTCCACCAACAGTCTCCTGGAAACACTAAACCAGTTCATCACCTTTAAGGTCAGGAAAGAGGTAGAGCAAGAGACCTCCTTGGCTTAACTGTGAACCTCTGAATCTGCTCAAAGCCAGAAGTGTACCAGTGTACCAGAGATGGAAAAGCAGAAAAATACACGTTGAGAACTAAAAGGGCATTGATAGGATGTACAGAGAATCTTAAGAAGTTCAACAAGGATAAGGGTAAGATCTTGCACTTGGCAAAACATAATCTAGGAGTGCAGCACAGACTGGGATGGACCTGTCTGAGGAGCAGCTCTGTGGAAAGGGATCTGGGGGTCCTGGTGAACAAGCAGCTCCATGTGAGTGAGCAGTGTGCTGTTATGGCAAAAAAAGCCAACATGATGGACTGCATCAACAGCAGAGATAAAATCACCATTATCTCACTCAGCACTTGTCAGGCCACATCTGCAATACTGGGTTCTCTGTGTTCAGCTTTGGTCCCCGATATCCATAAAACCCACAGAACCATGGACAGGCTGGAAAGGGTCCAGAGAAAACCCACAGGTGCCAATTTTCAAAGGGTGACTACAAAGAAGAGACTCCCTTTTTAAAAGCAGTCACATAGAAAAGATGAGGGTTCATGTGCACAGATTACTTTGTGATAGTCCACTTGGACACTGGAATAATGCCATTGGAACAAAACCCACAGGGAAGTGTTGGACTCCCCAGCATTGGACATTTTAAAGACTTGGCTGGTCAGGGTGCTAGGCTACCCTGTCTAGACCATGCTATTGACAGGAAAAGTTGGACCAGACCATCATTGAGGTCCCCTCCAACCTGGTATTCTATAATTCTATAAGCATTCTGATGAACTGAAAGTGTGTGGAATGTTTAAATCTTTGACTGCAGCAGCTTCTAAAAAATCAGTAGCTTTTCCACATTAAATAATATATTCAGTACTCCCCCCTCTTTCAAATATTAATCTGTGTTGAAGCATTATTTGTTTTACACAATGCAGAATGTGCCCAGCGATGGAATGCAGAGACAGGCAGAGCTGATTGAAGATAGTGCTAAAACATCCTGTAGGGACAACACTGTATTGTCCAAGGGGAGCCAGGGTACCATCAGTGCCATTCACACATAATATATCTTTGTAGCCTAATTAAGAGGGGCAGGGGGAGGAGAGGCTATCTAAAGGACTTTTATTTTTCTTGGAAAAGCTATTTCAATTGTTAGCTTGTCAGGTATGAAACTCCACAAAGGCACCATTCATTCATATATATATATATATATATATATATATATATATATACACACACACACACTGACTAAAGCACCTTATGCTTAACAATGCTTTTTCTAGGGATATGGAATGAAAGTTCCAAGTTTTGCAGGCATAAGGCCACTTACACTTTCCTTCACTGCTGGAGTTATTAAGCAGTATGTTCATGCTGTGATCAAAGAATACTTCACAGACAAACTTTTTATCATCAAAAACACCTCACAAGAAACAGCTGAAAACAAATTTCTGTCAAATAAAGCCTTGTCCCTGTTAGGCCACTTAAGCATTATATTATCTGCCTGTCCCTTGTTGCCAGGCAATAATGCTGTGTAATGCAGAGACAACTAAGCACACGACAACATTTCAAAAGTGAATACAACCACCTATGCAATAAAAATTATTTGGAGAAAGGTAGCTTAAAATCTGCAAAGATGCCTCCTTGTCCAAGGGGGAAAGTTACAATGGCAACAATTTCAGTGGCACAGTAATTAGAACGAAGAATGAAGCTCATCAATACAAGCATGTGTCTCATCAGTCAGCAGCAGTCTGCTATAGTAGTGAAAGACAGCAAGCCATTGACCAGTGGCAGTGTAATAGCCTCCTATAAAAAGTAAGAATTGAGATGTTCAATGAAATTTAGAACCTGTGAATAAGTTTCAGTGTGAGATAATCTAAATTACTGAACACAGTGCTTCATGATGCATTTGGTTATGATCCAGAGAAGCATTTCTGGGTTGTCAAATAAAATGTTTTAAAGTCTGTTGAACAAGACACTGTATCAAGTAACCAAATTAATTAGAAATAATCAAAATAAAACAAGAATGAAGATGTGGCAATTTAAAAAAAATCCTCTCCCCTAAAAATATATGTAACAAGGCACATATTAGGAGAAATATCTTCAATTACTTTATTATTCCATTTGACTTAAATACTTGAAACCAGTTTTCTCAGAATTTAAGACAATGGGGAGAAGTTTCAATTGCTTGTTACAGATGTCATAATTTCATTGTCTACTAAAGTGCAATAGTTGTGTGCCAGAAAGTATAAGCAGAAAGTAAAAGACAAAAAAACAACCACAAAAAGTTCTTGAAGACATTCAAAAACAGTGAGAGCATATGTATTCAGCCACACTTTTTAAGCAATTAAAAGTAACACTGAAAATGTTTATAAACCTATATTTTAACTTGTTCCCTGCAAAGCCCATAACTTTGTATGTTTTCCAAACAAGACTTTTATGCTTTTAAAGAAAACAAATATTAGCGTTTCTATTACCTTAAAGAAATATATGTGGAATAAGATAAAGGCAGACAGGTTAATTCATTATATTTTGAAGTATTAAGCAATGACTGGATTGCAAGTTATATTTTAAACATATTCTTTTAGGTGTGCAGTAGGTGCCAGTATTTGTGACAGTCCTGAAAGTGTTGTGGACCTCATAACAGCAAAACCTTTGAGCGATTTACTCCCCATCATCATTAAGAGACAACTGCTGAAAAGCATTTAGTTGAGAAAAGATGTAAAAGATTCCTTATTCTTCACAGAACTTTATGCCCTTTCAATTTTGTATTTCATAAATAATTAGTAATTAGACTTAAAATTTCTCTTTAGTTCAAACACTCACATTTATGACATTTCACGTGCACAACACCACTCAGTCCCTTTTAAACTAGAAAAGTACAAACTACTGAAAGCTAAGTGTTTGAAAGTTCCAGGTATCTTATCTTTCCAAAGATACAAAGTGTTCAGAAACAAGGTAGTAAATACATTAGTGCTGACCCACTTAAAAATTTTTGGAGTATGGTAACTATTTTATTACACTTAATATTTTTTTCAGTAGAAAACCATCATATCATATTGTTACTCCTCTCCATTTTCCTCAGAGGTGTATTCTCTGAGAGTTTGTTCTATTTGTGTGTTCCTTACAGAATACATGTAGGGGTAAGGGTCCTACTAGTGCTTAATTAAATATAGGGTGTTTATTTGCAATGAGTAACCTTTTTCTGACGTTTGCAGAAGGGCTGGTAACCATCTGCCAAAGTAATTTTGAGGAAAGCATCAGTTGAATATTTGTTTGTGCATACACACCAGCTTGTACATGGTAACCTTCATACAATCTCCTTAAACCCCTGATTTCAACAGGCTAAAATCACGGAGAAACGTGCCAAAGAAGAAAACTGCCACAAGCCATTCTTCACATAGTGCTAATTATATCAGGGTTGTTAAAGCCGTGGTTCTTAAACCCCATCAAAATTAATCTACAATTTGAAACACGTCTAACAGTTGTTTTGAATGCTGAACAAGAACATTCAGCATTCGGAGAGATTCTTCTAACACACAAAAGTCAGTCATCTTGCTATTTCACCTGAATTCAAGGAGAATTGTGCACATTCACAGAATCCTTCTACATTCCAGAGCTTACCCAGCCACCCGCTCAGCATTACACCCCAAGTCCGGCACACGGAGCAACTTCCAGGACGGCCCCTCTGTTTCATTCCAAGGTGTTCAGGGCAGTGACCCCCTCACCCAGCACGGACCTGCCTGGCAGCTGCTCCAGGCGCTCCCTCCCCGCGGGGCACAGGGATCGCCCCCGCACGCTAAGGCGCAGCGCAGGAGTGCAGCAGTTCCAACACTAGAGGACAGCCTGTTCATTTGACTGAGCCTCGAGATTTGTCGTGCGCTTCCCACATAGCTCCCTTCCTCTTGCACTAGAATTCGAGTTCATAAGCTGATGAATCCACTTTCAGGAAGCTCCTCTTCAGATTAAAGACGTTTTTCTCCCCCCTTTCTGTGTAAGTTTCAAAGCGTTGCAAGAATTCTTGAAAATGAGATAATTAATGTCAGTACTGTCTGTCCAACGCCAAAGACAAGAGCTTCTAGGGGAGCCATATTCTTTCCTGCTACTCTGTAAATTCCAGCTACTGCAGCACCTAAGAATCACAAGGAAAACAATGATCAAATCACAGAAAAAGTCAAGGTTGAAATATGTAACAAATTATCTACTCTGTCTATGCGTCAGCTATTTATAGAACATTACCAAACACTGTATTACTTCATGGCATTACACAATTACCAGCCTTGCTTGTATTTTTATAGTTATATATATCCTTCAGGAATGATTTTCCCAATTTAACCAGATCAACTTTTCTATCATCAGTTTGATTTAAGAAAATCGAATCTTCTTGTTTCCCTGTACACACCTTCATATTTTGTTTTTAACACATTTTGCCTTGTGGCGGTTTGCAAAGGTAGCAAGGCAGTCCTCTAAAAATTGACCAAGTCTGAAGAGTGGTTTAATACTGTTTGTATAGGCAGGGAGAAGACAAGAACAATAAAGCTGCTAGTGTCAACAAAACAATTGTAAACACACATTTACCAGCTTCATTTAATATTTCAGCTGAATAAACTGGTCGTATTATATGAGTTTATTTTGACTGAAACTATGAATTATTAACAATTGTTTAGCAAATCTAGCAAAACATGAAAAAGGTCAAAGTATTGCAGTGTTTTCCATACATGTGTATGAGAGGAAATTTCTAACCGGTACAACTAGATTTTGAGCTATAGCACATTAAAAGAAACTCCAACTCAACAGATAATTTTTCCTGTACAGTTGAGTGCAAATTCACATTTGAAATATAATATCAAGAGGCCAGGATCAACCAAAAGCAAATCCAAAACTTAATCGTAGACCTTCACTATGTATTGTCACAGATGCTATCAGTCATAATTAAATGCCTTCAGAGATTACAGAGGCTTTTTCAGGCTCAAAGAGAACTGAAAAGTCATCACAAATTTTTTAAATAATAGGCAAGAGTTCAAAAAAAAAAGTGGGGGTTTGTTGTTGGTTTTTTTTTCTGTTTGTTTTTTTTGTTTGTTTGTTTGTTTTGGCTTTTTTTGCACAGTCACCGACAGGAATAGTCTGCTGGAGTGATCAAAAATCCATTAGTGCCACAGAAATACATTGAGTCCCAAACAGATTTTCTGAAAGTACAATCAGCATCTGAATCATCTGACATCTTCAAAAAGTAACACTTCATTTTTACAATAGCTTTAGGAAGAGTAGAATTCACTAATGTTTGTGGCCATAACAGTACTTACAAACACTATTAATCATACTAGGCAATTTTTGGGTTAATTTATTTTAAATGTTTTTTTTCAATAAATGTACTTTTGTAAAGTATATTTTCTCTCAAATATCTCACCAGAAGGCTAGCCTTATGGTATTTCACTCAGCTATCTTTCACAAGCTTTTCCATTTGTTCCTTGGCTAGCTGCTGTCAAAAACTGGAAGAGATCCTTTAGACTGAGCCCACTATTGACATTAAAATTATTTTTCAGATTGAACTCTCAAAGTGAATTCAAATTGGCCAAAAATGTATACCAGAATTGTCACTACTAGATCAGTAACATAAATTTCAGGCTTCCTGACAAAACACTGAGATACCCTGGGAAGTATCCAGAATAAAACAATAAAAATTTGGTGGTTTGCTAATTATGTATTATTACACAAATAGCAGTGTGCAGTACAACCTGTAATGCATAACCCAGCACAGCTGGTATAGAGCCAAAAGTATGTACAATAGGCTGCCAACGAGGGAAAGGAGAATTTGTCACCAAAAAGGAGTGTGCTGGGGAAGGGGAGGAAAGACAGACTCTTCTGGATCAAATACAGCTAAAGGCTTGCCTTAAGCTTCTGGTATTTATATATTCTTGTTTGGCTTGGCAGGGATTTTTAGGTTGTTGTTTCGTGGGTTTGTTTGTTTGTTTTTGTTATGGTTTTGTTGGGTTTTGGTTTTAGTTTTTTTAATGTTGTTGGTTTTTCTCTTTTACTGTATCCGTGACTGATTAGTAATTTATCAATACCTTTCTAAACAACACTTAATTTCCATGATTTTTCAAAGCTTAGAAATGGAGGAGTCTCCTGCTTTTCTATATGCTGGTAAAAAGGACCCAGAACATCAGAAAGTCTGAAAGATCTCCCTGAGCAAAATTAAACTTACATTGTGCAATAGTCTATACTGCCTTCATTCTCCTACACAAACAATGCAGAAGACTGGAAATACAAAGTGGAAATTGAAGTCAGTTTGTTTTTTCAATTTCTCAAGCACTGGACCAGGCATATTTAAATAGCTGATATTTCAACTCACATCTCCCAGTTTGCAATACAATAGCTATTAAAAATCCTCTTCAATATTTGATCACCATAATTTGCCTTCAAAAGCTCCCCACAGAATTTCTTTCAGTATGAAACAACTGAGTTCTGGCCAGAAACAAAAAAATACTTCAAGGTAAAAGTACTTGCCTAAGCAAGTTGCAATGCTCTGTGCAAAACCTTTGGGAACAGCATAACAAGTCTACAGCCTAAGCTTAGAGAAGTCCTCTGATGAATATGCACACAAACAGGACTGCTTACTGCTTACGTGCTAAATGTTTTGACCTGCAAAACTAGATGCCAAAAATACAACTGTGTTGCTTCTCTTTTTATGCAAAGATAAAAGACACAAAGTACTTTCATCAGGAAACACTGATCCTGAAACCTCCCCACCATAAAAAGCTGTGAAAGTCTCTGCTTGGATCTTCCAACACCACATTTCCTAACTTCAGTTCTTCAGAAATGCTCACGCATGGCTGACCTTGTAACAGGCCACTTGCTATTTTAATCCCAAGACAAAAGTCAGCATAACATACAACATAAAGCACTCAACTAGTTCCAAGTTATCTTAGCAAAAAAAACCCAACAACCCAACCAACCCCCTTGCCACCCCTGTAAAAACTCAATAAAAAATAGTTATACTGAACTATACTGTGTTAAATAGTGGAAATTCAAAGTTGAGAAATATCTAGCAATTAAAATAACCTTTTGAGGAAAGTCTTAGTGAAGCTTCCCATGACATTTGCATTTTTCATTTTTATTTAACCTTGAAAAACAATAGTCAGGAAGATATTTCAGCAGCAATAAGAAATAATCTGTCACAAATCCTCTATGAATGCATCCAAAGCTGACAGGGATACCACACAGGGCCCATATTTCAGTGCTGATATAGATAATGGAATTTCTTGGGAAAGATGGAAAAGCAGCCTCTGATACCAATAACTCTAGATGAAAGATAGATGAGCAGCGTTTTCTCAAAAATTCTTGGCAACACCACTAGTGTCATATTTGGTCAGCTGTAACCCTTCCACACTTTTACCACATAACACACTCCTACTTTCTGCAGTGTTTTAAACATGAGTGTGGTTTTTAACTACAGCTCTGCGAACCTTTTGGCTTTAACAGAAAAAAAATGGCTGCATCTATCTGAGGATACAATGTCAAGAAATAAAAAATGTATCCTGAGTGGTAGCCATCCATCTAACACTGTAAGAAACTCTGTAACAGATGCGCTTGCCAAACAGTATTTCACCAAGAACATCAACAAAGATTTTTTTTTTTTGGAGGGGGAGAGGTCACTCTATAATTATTGCAAAATCCTTAATAAACAATTAGCAATTAACTAAGAAAAGCAGTTTTGTTGGTGGTTTTTTTTAAGAAGTTAGATGTAAAATAAGAAAGGGAAAAACCCCAAAACAACAAAAAAACCCCAAACAAGAACAAAAGGCAGACTTACTGGTTATCATTGCTCCAGTTATAGAGCCCAGAAATCCAATGCTGACCACAATGACAGAGATCAGCCTCCCTTGCCTATGCCTCTGCAGCATCACAAACATTAATACTCCCACAGCACCATGGACAAAGAGAGAGGAGAAGAGAGCCCAGAGGAAAACCCAGTACCACATCTCTGAAAGAAAGCAGTCAAATAAAGGGTTAATATTTTTTAGACAAGAACTTTACAAGTAAGTAACTTTAAAACATTGCAAACAATCAACTGTAAGAGAAAAGCAATACTGATTTCCATCTTAAAAGTGATACATGTGACACCATCAGCTCCTGCTCAAGACTCTTTCCTCATTTCAGCAGTCTGTCATAAAGCATTAGCTGCATTACGTTAAAAATTATAAAAAAGGATTCTGGCAAAAATCTTAATTCAGATGTATTTTTACAAGTAGCCATAATTCCTTTAACAGCTTCTTTAAATAGCGTTGATTGCAATTTCTCAGTAGGCATTGTAACTGCTTCTGTAGAATGAAATATTCTCTGATACAAAGACTGAAGGAGGAAAAAGACAAGAACTGGTTTGGGGTTCGTTTGGGTTGTGAGTTTCTATTTTGGGGTGGGTATGGATCTTTTGTTGTTCCTCAACCCCCCGCCCCCATAAATAAGAGACAGCATCAGGTAACATCAGATGGGAAAACTGAGATTAAAGACTTTAGCTTATCTATACCCAGGAGCTGTAATAGAGTGTTCCGTCAAATTAGCTTCAGAGGTGCAAATAAAAACACTATAATTTTAACAAGAAATTTTAACAGATCCAACTCCTTGTTTCTAATTGCATAGTACAGAACTTCAGAGAGAGGTAGTGACTATTATTTATATTACTAAAAAGGGGATCAGATCATGAGAATGTTTGGAGCAAAAACACTTTTTTGAAGAATAGCAGGCATGATGAGCCCCTTCAAAGAAAAGAACCATCAATGGAGCTACACAATAACTCAAGAACCTTTCTCACTTGGTGTCAACTTTCTAAAAAAGTTCTATAATTAAAAGGGTGAGTAAATACAAGAAAAAAATCCCTTTTGTTTTAAGTCAACTACAGTAGGCGTGTATCATTACAGAACCTAGCAAATTAGGGTACATATTCCATAATCCCATGACACTGTCATTAATTCAGTTTTTGCTGCAGTTCCCCCTCAAAAATAGAACAAAACAAACAAAAAAAAAACCCAGCCTCCTTACAAAAGCAAGATACTTATCACTTACGAGGCAAGCCTGTATTAACGTAGCTTGACTCATATCAACTATTCGAGAAAAATACAACCCAATTAGCTAACTTAAAAAATACTTAGTAGCACAAAACATACTGTGAAAAGATGCTGAGAAAAAAATGTTGCTACACAGTAAACACAGCCCTGGGAGTCCATTGTCAGCAGGATATGTATATAGATAGCATAAATACAGAGTTGAAGATTTTTTTATTTAGCAGTACTTTGGGAGTAGCTTAACCCTTCCCCTTTCACACAAGCATAAATGACAATACTATGCCGGCCCAAGGATGTACAACGGCTCCAAATCATGACAGCCAAAAGGCTTCTTTAAGAGAGCAGCAAGGAAAGTGGCTGACAAATCTACACCCAATACTCCAACTGCAGTTCGCGGTGCAGCTTTTCCTTCTGAGTGCCTGGATACATGCGCCACCTCCTGAGGGTGGCTTGGAGCAGCTCTCCTGAGATCCTCCACCCCCTCACCCCTGGCCCCAAAATGGGTCTCAGAAATCTTGGCAAAAGGATAATGACCATGGTACTGTTCCACTGAATGAAAGTCTCATCATTCTCAGAAGCTACTGTGACAGAACAGTGGCAGGAATGTCAAGCAGTCACTCCACAAACCTCCCCCCCCCAAACTAAAATGAAGAAAGACTGCCTGACCTAATCTGTGGAAGGGGAACCTCTCCTGCTGTCCTAACAGGTCTTGTCCATTACTAGCACTGGGTGTTTCCATTGTTTTATTCAAGTGGAAGCACAAAAACAGGATTAACCAAAAATCTACCAATACAGAACATGCCATCCCTGCCAGACTTACAGTTTGACATCAGGGAAACAAACCTTAGGATTTATTAACCAATCTGGACCAAGAAAGTCTGTGGGAATCTGATACTGTCATAGCCCATAATTTCTACAGGATTTGTTAGGCACTGCATCATCTTTTAGGAAATTGGTGTTAGTAGGCATTGTCAACCTTTATCAAGTAGAAAAGACAAATGACCTCCAGTCTTAGGAAAACTCACTAGGATGACTGTATTTTTAGAAGAAAATGAAAGCTTATGGGAAGGCTAACTACTCCCCTGTAACTAAGAAACCCAAAATATTTACAAACTCTTACACAACAAAATAGCTCCACAGTGAGCAACTATCTTTGGTCCTATTTATGTTCCAAATAAGGCTCAAGGAAAATTAGCATCACCCCTCACTTTATATTTAGGGCAGGAGGCTTGAGAATAGAACCAGTACCAAAATGTCCTGATGACTAAAGAAATATAAACTTCAGTTCTTTGCTACACACTTTCTCCTACTACTCCTTAAAAGTAGCAGGCATATTGAAAAGGAAATTGGAGAACATCCAGAAATATTCCTTGCTTGACACAAAACCAGCTGGAGCTTTGTTAAACTATGACCTCCTTTCATTAAAGGATTTCATCATATTCATCATATAAGTCTTAGGAGCTGAAACAGGACAAACCACTTCCAAGCACCTTCCCTAGGAAAGACCAGAAGTTACCCTTTCTTATCCTCCTTTATTTACTCTTTCTGTGCCTGCTAGCTCAACACAATCATTTATTTACTTCTGCTCATAGGGTGAGTGATGAAGTCAACCAAGTTATAACCAAGTAAGTTCTTTAACAGGATGACAAGATAAGAAGGGACAACTTTTCAAGCAAGTTAGAAGAGACCTTAAGCTCCATTCACCTAGAGGACAATGTAGACACTCTTACCCTGATATGGTGAGGGCAGAGAATTATACATGTTCTATAAAATTCAGTATCATCTAACCCCTGAACCATGAAGAGAGATGACTCCAAAACAGTATGTTAGAGCAACACTGAAAGACACAAAGAATGGTTTGGGAATAACACTGAGGTACCACTGAAAAACAGAAAAAGAGAATGTGGACTTCTGAACACAAATGGTCAAGACTTCACTTATTCAAAAATGACTGAGTGGTTTGATTGCTGAATTGACTTGCAACATCTCTAAGGAAGAGGAAGTGAGACTGAAGAATCTCACCTATTTATGTCCTATGCACTGACTGATCCTTTAAGCAGCATAAGTTTATGTATTGCTACCCTGACAAAAAAAGCACAGTCCAATTTCAGTCTTTGTTTATTTAGTTTGTGTTCATATTCAGTTTATTTAGTCATGCCCTCAAAGAGCATCCCTAAAGAGACATGAATAGTATAAATTTTTTTAAAAAACCCAACAAAACGCTTGCAACTTCTTTTGCTTGACTCTAGTAAAATTTCAGAGTTTTCTTTTATTGTATCCAAATTACTTAAAGTCACCAAAACACAACATATGTGTACTAAAACTCCACAGTTCCTAGAGAAAAACAGGAACTAGGGAAGACCCAGTAGTTTACAAGCATAGTGACATTCAGTATATTGCAAAGATGTCATAGCTCTTCTAATAAGAACAACTGAGATACATTTTTCATGTTTAAAATTCTTAGTGCTTAAACTGAAAGGAAGATTTAAGACCATGTTTATGCTCCTTTCCTCTGGTATGCCTTAGTTGGGGATTTTTTTCCTCACAGAAAAGCTGCAAGGCTCAAATACCTTGAAATTAATGCCCAATCACACCAGTGTTAGAGTACTTTGTTAACTTTGATATTTATACATACCAGGTAGACATCATGCATACATTATGCTTATGTACTACAGATACACATTATACATTTATTAGTGTAGGCATACACAACATTAAAGATTAGGAAAAGACTTATTAAAGCAGGTTATTGTTTAGAATAACATTAATATCACTTCCATCTTATCAAGAATTTAAGGTGTACTCCATCAACAGCTTCATTTTACACAAGGAAAGCAGATAAACGATAACATTTTCAAGTATTATCTACATATGTGTATCAATATGCTGTCCTACTGCCACTCAGCTTCAGTAAACATGGAGCATCTCCTTAGTCCATCTTCAGCACTTTTCCTCTAGTTCTAAGCTTATTTTGCCAGATGAATAATGACTGCCTACAACATGTAATAAATCAAGAGATTACTCCAAAACAAAGTGTCTCTCTCTCTTCATTCTAAGCCCGGTACCCAGTCCATCACTATTATCTACAGAGGTAAGTCAAGCAATAAGCACCTGTACAAAGAATACAAATTTAAGTCAACAGGGTAGCACACATGAAACTTAGAATTATAAAAACCAGTAATGTTACATTCCTGTAGCTTATAAACTCCAAGCACTCAGATGAAGTGACAGCATATGATACCTGCAAATGTAACTCAGCGCTTTACATGCTACATCTCTCTTCAGCACCAGGTCCTGCCCTTAATTACTGCATTAACTGGTACTTCCAAAGTTATCAACAATGCAGTCAAATTGCTATTTGGAGATGCTGCATTAATTGGGAAAAAATGCACTTCACTAAGGTGCATTTAAATCTCAAATTACAGACTAGTCCTCTCAAGTAACAGCATAGGGGGCAAAGAAAATCCAGACAACCTGGGGCAAATGAGCACAGGATGGAGCTTAGGAGCTCCTATTAGAAATACTGTCAAGTCCTTTATTGTGGAAACAGCCTTTAAACAATTTTTATTTTACTGGATACTAATAATGGGATTTTTTCCTCATGTTTCAGTTCAAATTCAGCTGCTATCTGATTTGTTCTAGCAAACCCTGATCTAGGACTAGCTCTAAAACACAACCAGCTCATATAAAGGAGGTGTCCTTGGGATTTACTGGAGGATGTAACAAAGAGTGAGGTAAAAGCCACCCCACCTCTGGCACGATTCCTAAAGCCTTACTTCTGCCTCCCAGGAGAGGTCAGGAAGGTAGGAAGCAAGCACTCCATGGTGATGGGCCTATGTTCAGCTAAAAGGAACAACGCTTGCAGCTTCAGCTGTTACAGGGCATGATGTGTATGTGGCTTCAATAAACTTGTCTGTGGTCTCCTGGGTATTTGAGGCCACGAACAAAACACAGGATTTCCTTTTTTATGTTGAACCTGATACACACATATAGTATCAAAATAATCTTTCAGTTTCTCATTGGCAGGAAAAATGAACCCACCAAAACTAAGCTATTAGGGTATGAAGCATTCCTGGCTTAGGCTGGAATTCATATCAGGACCCTGTTGAAAATTTCAGAAAATTAACATATTTTTAAGTAGGATGCTGATAAAATTTTGCAACAAGTTTGTGAAAACATAATCAACACGGCTCATCTAAAGCAGATAAATCTTTACTCGTGCAACTTAAAAGTCCAGGCTAGACCACAACTTTAAATCCAAGAGTAGACACAAAGCAGTCTTGAATATTCATGGGACATGGTACATTAATGATTTTCTTTTCCCAGCATTCTGGAGGAGTTTCTCTTTATACCTAACAGAGGTGCAAAAGGGAATGGATTAAGCAGTCAAAGAAGATAAACTCATTCACAAACCTATTTTCTTAGCAGGGAAAAGAACAGATTTTCTGATTTTGAACAAAGTTTATTTTGTTAAGTAGTAGTAAGGAAGGGCTTATGTAACTAGCTTTTTGTTAATATCAGTGATAATATCAATATATATTCTATCCTGTGTAAAAGATTTTTAAGTCCAGTGCAAGTTTTGGACTGTTGACAGTCCATGAGAACATTCAGCTCAATAGGTTATGGCTGTAAGAGCAGCCTGCATTTAAGCACCAATTTAGAAACTGCAACTACAACTGGCAGTGACACATTCTCCAACAACACAAAGGTGGATAAAAAATTATTTTTCATATTTCTTAAGTTAAAAAACGTTCCACACTAAAAATACCTTATGCAAGCCCTTATTGCAAAAGCACTGAGAAACGAGCTGATTTTAACTCTGGGCACTGGATTTCATAGAAACGCCTATGTTGCATAATGATCTAATAAGAAAAACTTTATAGAGGATGTCTGGAACAAAGCAAAGTGAAATCCATTGTGAACTTTTTCCTTTAAGAGTACAAGTTTTTAAAGTAGTTATGTTAAAGTAACTTCTCAGGAAGTGAGCTGTATTTAGTGTGTCACCACACTAATACCTGGAAACTTTAATTATCAGACACACACTACAAAGTTCATAGATCAGATAAATATGAAAAGGTTAATCTTTTTTATTACACTAAAATGCATCCTGAAAATAAAAAGAATAAGAAAGATGATCGCTTTCTGTTTGCTACAGCTTCAACTTCAGCTACACCTCTATTTTCATCTCACTTCTATTTCCATCACACTTCTTCCACCTTTAAAAGATTAAAAAAGAAAACAGAAAATATCTATTAATCATTACCATAGAGGGCAAAAAAATGACATAAGACTCTTTCATAAATATTAGAATATTTCCATAACTGTTTAAAGCCTACCCCTACTCAACATTTTCAACTAAACTGCCACCACCTGATACACCCCTACAGCAGAAGGACTTTACTCGGTTACATCTCTGCTATTGACACCCAATCCCTGCTTATTCCGAGCTGGAAGCTTATGCTTTTCTTAACACATGGACAGAATAAGGGAAGATACCCCTCTCCACTGTATGCCTTGGGTCTCACAGTGGTCCACACCCATTTTTCAGCCTAAGACTGAGCAGAAAAAAGCCAGTTCTTGCCAAAAGCCAGCCAAAGCTCCCCTCTCCTAACAGAAGGTGAAGACCTGACTCTACTTTGGTTCACAGAATTTTTTAGTAAGAGCTCAGTCTTTAATAATCCCAGATGCTTAAGATTACTACTTGTCCGAAAACAACTGTCACCTCATTCACTCCCACAGGTCTCATTATCCACAGGTATACTCAGGGTAGTGGGAGAAGTCTCTGATTCTCCACATTCCATTTCATGGTTTTCTAGTTGTTTTTTTTATAGCTGTCTGTCAAATGCCAGTGAGCATATATCCACAAGGTAAAAAAAAAACAAACCAACAAACCAACCACCTCCACAAACATACTCCAGCCTTCCATACATATTTATACACTCACACACGCTTCCTACAGTCCTTCATTCACGCACAGGTACCCATCACTGCACTCGCATACACGCACCCTATGCCATTATTTTATAATATTCTTTTATTTTATATGGGCACAGAAAAGTGAGCGATCACATCCCACACACGCTCACGTCCTTTGCACGGGCAGGCATCCCAGACAGCGGGCACACACCCCAGCCCAACCAACACCTCCCACAGACCCCACAGATTCCCTGGACACCGCACATACACGATACACCTGCTCACAGAACACGCATGTAGGCACCCGGAGACACTCGGGAACACGCACACCAGCCCTCCCTAGGCGCAGCACACAGGCAGACCACCGCCAGCCCCACGCCCTCCATTGTGCTCCAGCCGCCGAGCGCCCGCCCGCCCCGCACGGCCCCGTTACCCGTGAGGCTGCGCAGGACGGTGCCGTGAGCCCACAGGCTCAGCACTTGCTGCACCGACAGGTTGATCATGGAATTGTCCCCCGCTTCCACCTTCATGGTGCCGCCGCCGGGCGGGGTCCGGCAGCCGCCGGACCGCGGGGCGGGAGGGAGACGGCGGCGGCGAGGAGCGGCAGGGCGGGGAGGCGGCGAAGGGAGCTCCGCGCCGCGGGGGAGACATCGAGGACGGAGTGGGGGGAGCCGGGCGACTCGGGGGAGGAGGGGAGCCGGCCGCTGGCGCTTCCCCGCCGCTCAGGGGCAGGGCCGGGCGGCGGAGCCCATCATCATCATCATCACCATCATCATCATCATCATCATCGCCGCCGCCGTCTCCGCCTCCTCCATCAGCAGTGGCCGCTGCCGCCTCGCCAGCGGCATCGTCACCGCGGTCACCGGCATCACCTGGAGCGAGGGCGGGGCGGCCGCGGGCCGTCCCTCAGGCGGGCGGCTCCATGCGGCAGCAGCGGGCAGCTCCCGGCGCCAACGGCAGCGGCTGCCCGGGGAGGGGCAGGGAGGAGCGGGAGCGGGGCGGCGGGAGCGGAGCCGAGGGAGCGGGAGCCGAGGGAGCGGGAGGGCGGCCCCGCGCAGGCGCGGCGGGAGGAGCCGGGGGGCGCGGGCTCCTCCCACCAAACGGAGAAACAGAATTGGGAATCGCGGTTTGGCTCAAGGAGAGCGGGAAAGAGTGGGGATGTCGTGGATGCCCGAAGAAACTTGCGTTAGCAAGAAGTGTGTTAAAGAAAATCTATATACACATATATATGTGGGAACAGGGCGGGACAGCGCCAAAGAAGCGGAGCGCACAGGGCGGGTGCTGCCCGGGGGTGCCGGAGCTGCCGGGGCTCCGGTGACAGCACGGGTCGCAGTGGAGGAGGTGTCATCCCGAGCTGCCATCCCGAGGCAATATCCAGGCATCGCTGCGTGACGTCCCTGCCTGTCCCTTTGGACCTCGTAGTTCCACCGTCACTGTGGCCGCAGATTAAAGCCCCTGAAAGTTAGAAAGCGTCAGAAATCCTGAGAGAATCTTTATTGTGTGCCTTTGCTTTTTTATGTAATAAAGGAACAGTCTTTAAGCTGGACGCGCCTTCTTTCGAAGCACGGGATGCACGGTGCTTACCGATGTAAAAGCCAGCAATCATCTCCTACCCATTCTTAAATATGCATCCCTAGACCACATTTAGTGCACATACTTCCTCGCTGGCATTTCTTCAACAGTACTTGCTACAGTACTTCATAAATATAATTTTATGTCAGCATCCTTTGATGGAAAGGGTTGAAGAGGTAAAGCAACTCATAATAAAATTTGCAATTTATAGATGATGAGCCATGACAGATAAATCACCTAATATTCTGCTTGATGCCAATGACCCCATTTTTTCCAGCTAGGTTTTTGCGGGATGTTTGGTTTAAGGGAGTGCTCCCAAAGCCTTTTGCAGCTGTCAGTGCTTGGCATTTCTGCAAATAGGTATCAATCCAGGCAATGAGAAACTCACAGGGAACAGGTCCCTAGGGGGCTCTGGGTTTCACTGATTAAGCATGGGATCACTGATGGAGAAAGAACTCAGCTGCTGGGCCAGGTCCCTGTTCCATGATCTCTTCCTCTTCTTGTAATCCCAGCACTCTACAGCTGTGTAATTCAGGCCTTACAGAAAACAGTTCCCTTTATTACACAGTATTGATTCATTTTTAAGGCAGAATTATTCCATACTTGGAGGAGGACTCAGTGAGAAAATAGCATATAATTTAAGTTTGAAAGTGAAACATACAATGAATTTTTTAGGAACCTTTTTTCTGTTCTGTTATTCTTTTTGAACTTCTGCATGCCAAACTTTGAGAAAACAAACATTTTAAATGTCCTTTAAAAAAACAAAACTCACCCTAAATTAACAAAACACCCCTAAATGAATTTTTGTTGTAGACCAATGTCCCAAGAACAAGGTATACTCTGCAGGACACTGTGGTATAATCAAACTTACAGTACAAAGGAAGACACTTTTTGGTCACCATTTTATCTCATAAATCTTCTATGATAACCTACTGACAGATATCAGCAAGACTGTCTGATAGGCCAAAGGCACACCTGGAAATATCTGTAAACAATGCTGCATTGGTGCCTGGTGACCTTTCAACCTGCATATGGATGATTTTTTATGTTCCACTCAAGGAAGAATGCATGGGGAATTCTGGCTTTGAACCACTTGTGTCCAGAACTTGCTAGAATACCTTCCTCAAGGTTTTACATTAGAAATACAGGAAGCACATTAATGTAGACGTCAGGTGAGTATCTCTGTAGTTCGCAGATGCCTGCAATATTTGCTCAGGACCATTCTTCAAGATTTTGTGCATGCTCTCTCCTAAGAGACAGAGATTTGGGAACCTGTTTAGCCTCCCCCAGGGAGGGCTGATCATTCTGCAGCAGTGCAGGGACAGTGGGAACACAGAGCTGCTCTTCTAAGTCCTAGGAGAACAAACCAACTTTCTTCCCAAAAGAAATCCACCAAAACCACAGTCCAGCTTCCACTGAAACTCCATCTAAGAGGCTAAAAATGGTTGTCAAACCTCAGCCATGCAACATCTAAATTAACTTCTTCTATCAAAAACCTCCAACACATTTGGACAGTGTACAAGTAATAAAGGGACAGAGACTCATCATAAAAGGGGCCATAATTAATATAATTTATTCAATATAATCCTCAATCCATCATCCAGCAGGTGAGCTGGATAAAAATTTGAACACAAATTCATCATATGAAAACAAGGCCAACTGGATAATTCGGGAAAATATTGCTAAAGTACTGACTTTAAAGCAAAAAAACCAAAAAAACGGGGTTGTACATGGCAGTGACATTTCCCAGTAGCACAATATTGGGAGGACGTCATTCTGGAGGAGCAGAGTGCCTTGAATGAGGTAGCATGAACAACCAAAAATACACTCTTCCAAACTGTAGCTTCATAGGAGCAGGGAATTGCAGCCAACTCTGTCCTCAGCAAGACCTCCCACATGGGTGGTGTTGCCAGAGAAGTCCTGAGTGTATCAGCTCCCTTCAGGGATTATTATGAGACTGTAGGCAGCAATGTACAGAGCCACAGGGATAAGGCAAGGGTCTCCCAGCAGGGCTTAGGTTGCTGCTGAAACTGTGACTCAGGGGAAGAATAAACCACAGCTGCTTGAGCAAGGCAAGCAAAGATCTCAGGGAGGAGAAATCACAATGGGCAACATGTCCTCATAATTTAAACAGGAAGGAAGGAAAGAGAGAGAGAGAGAAAAGAAAGAAAGAGAGAGAAAAAAGAAAGAAAGAGAGAAAGAAAAGAAAGAAAGA